ACTTGGTATTTCTGCCCATTTATTCTTTAGTTTTAAGTTTCATTGGCAACCAGTTGCATCCTTCAGCTGTTATGGGCTCAAAAGATGGAGATCAACCACAAGTGAAACGTTTATGCCTAGTAATCCTCAATAAGTCCTTGTTTTTTTATTTATTTAAACATATTTTTAGTCTCCTTAAAAGAGCTATGACCTCTATGTTGGCAAGTCATTCTCAAACTGCAAGGACCGACCCTTTCCTCCGGACCGTTTCTGTAGAACCCTTCTGCAAAAACATATCTTCATGTCCATCAGGTCCTTGTGGTCGTCATATCTCATTGGAGGGATGTTTGCAAACAGCAGCCTGTGCCCTTTCGACTGCACCATTATTGCTGCATTCAGCAGATGATGGTCAGAAAAAAAGGGTGTATAGCTGTGCCGACTTCTCAGAAATAAAGCACACTCTGCTTATCAGATGAAACACTCGTAAAAAAAAGAGTTGTTGTCCCCTCTTATGAACAGCCACACCTCTGTGGTGTGTTCAATGTTGGGTTGTGAGGATGTATCTGTTTTTTGTCACTACAGTTTTCCTTTGCTCTGCAAAAGCAAGCCTAGGCAGATTTTCTGTAGTCACTGTAGTGGAACTTGGAATTTGCTTAAATGTCCTTGCCGTATATTATATTATATTATATTATATTATTTCTTTCTGTTTTGTGATTAAGATGTATTCTGGATTGTTTTTTATTTAAATCCCATCCTGTAATGTCAGTGTGTCAGAGCACAACTGCTGTTTGGTAGCACTAGGGATGTTAGCCTTTTCTAGCGCATTAGCCTGTGAAAAACTTGCAGTCAGGCCAAAATGAGTGCTTGATGATTAATGACAATTGCACTGGCTAAAACTTAGCTTTGTGCTAAAATTCTAAATCTTGATGTGGTGGATTATAATATTTAATGGAAATACAGTTGCATAAATATGTTTAAGCCACACCCACTGTTAAGTTGAATAGATGTTGTAAAATACATCAAACATCATATTGACAATTAAACAATTTCTAGAAGCTACCAGGGTTTTGTTGAAGACCAATGTTTGGTGATAAGATAAATGTATATTTAGTTATCTTGTTATAAAATTTATGAAACTTCCATTTCATAAATTTATTTAAATGACTTAAGATTTAAGGCAAAAGGTATGTTGTACATGTTGCAGTTGTCAGTCGTCTGCAGGTAGAGTTCATGCCTTTTAACTGGTACAGCAGGAACATGGCAGCAGTGACCTGTTTCTAGTCCCTGCCATCAAGGTCAGGCAACCCCAGAGAGAGGGCCAAACCGACTGACGCAGGAAAAGAGTGTGGCTGCCTCACTGCAGTTGAGGTTGGGGTTGTTATGACATATTGACTTGTGTGATACTTTTCTGTGCCAATACTGAGCCCTCAACAACTGCCACTGTGGCCACACGTGTTAATGCTGATCTGCACAAAACGTCAGTTTGTTCTGATAACATTTTCTATAATTCTGTGACAGATTATACACATCAAAATAAACATCAGTGCAGCTCATTTTATTGTGTATATGTAGTGTATTCTTGGCAACTTCTTCATTTAATGGTTCCATAGTGCAGCGGTTCTCACGCCTGCCGTACACATCTGCCTTACACAGAGAAGGTCCTGGGTTCAAGCCCCAAAGAAACCACGTACTTAATGGTACCTTCTGCAGCAGCCTGTGTGTTGCAAAGATTTCTCCATTGTGGGACGAACAAGGGACTTAATTCTGAGGCTTCAGGTGCAATGTGAGAGACCAAAGTTTGGTACGTCAGCCTGCCTGCAGTCCAGATCTACAGTAATTATCTCCTCTGGAAAATGTTTGCAGCATCGTGACAGGAGAATTCAAGAACAGGGGACAAATACAGTTAAAAAACTGCAATATTTTTCCACAATCCAAAAAAAAAAAATTAAGTGCATAAAAAGAGAATTGTGTGTGACGCAGTAGCAATATAATTGCAGTTTTCCATTTCTTATACTAGTCCATGTTTATGAAATAGTTTTCTGTGTTGCCAGGCGTAGGTTATTTATTATGTGATAATTGTACCCTGTCGACAATCCGTTATTTATTTGCTTCACTTTTGATAGCTGGCAACACTGTTGTACATGAGCATACAGTAAGTAAAGCATCACTGTTCAAAGGCTGTGTTAATAAATGTATCCAAAGCCCAGACTAATGGTCTTTAATAATCAGCATCTCCAGACTGCACATCATTGTCAAACACCCAAGCAGAGTTGCTGTGTAGCTGTAGTGAGTAGCTTTTCCAGGAGCCTGGTCCCTTATCTGTAATGTGTGTGATGCAGCACATACAGTACAGTGATCTGTGCAATAACAGAGGAGATAAAGTGCGGATAAGGACGGGTGAAAATCAGATCCAAAGCAGAAGAAAAATGAGAAGCAAAAAGAGACGAAGCAAAAGAGAAAAGGGTAGATGGAAGAAAAAAGGACAAGGGTTTTCAAATCTCAGTATAGTGGTGTTGTGCTGTCTCCATGGCAACCCCACAAAGGCCCATGGTTGGCCATTGATGGCTAATTGTATTCTTCACAGCTCTTTTGTTAATTGTTGTCTGCCCAGCTCCCACTTCCTGCTGGGCCACAGCACAAAGCCACGAACAGGAGGGATTAGAAATGGCACATCAGCCCAACTCTCTCTACCTCTCTTTTTTTTCTCCTTCCTCTCCTTCTTTTCTTTATCACTCCCTGTCCCAAGAGCCGCACCTCCTTTTATCTCCTCACCGTCTGTATTCTTCTGACCTTGTCATAACCTTCTTCCCCTTTTCTCTCGTTTCTTCATTCTTTGTCTGCTTGTCCTTTTCTTTACTCACATACTGTAACGATCAGATGTACTATCAACAGGGTTTACATCAACAAAGTCCACCTTGCCTTTATTTACCTCAGCACCTTCCCTGACAACAAATATAATAATGATAATAATGACTAATTAAACAAAGTTTATTTCTTACAATATCTAATATTGTTTTTTATTTTGTTTTTCCAATAATAATCATAAAACAAATAGTTTTATTACCTTGGAGTTTGTACAAACTGATTTTACAAAGTAAATATTCAGTAATAGACACATTCAAGGACAAAGATCTTTTCAAAGCCTTTCTGGCAATACTTCTGCAGCAATACTTTCCATAATAATTGGTTATACTTTTTTCTCAGGACAACATACTGTTGGTGTTGTTCATTTTATCTTTATGGGTAATATTTGGATTTCTATTTTATTTCAGCTAACCTTTGGATATTTTTGCATACTTTAGTATGAAATTATGTTTTTTTCCTTCTTTTGTACATATCTACTAACTTTAAAAGCAATGTGCAACCAGCGCTATCACATTTTAATTTTTGAATAAATGTAAAAATAAAGAGAAAAAGATAATAATCATAGAGACGAGGGGGTAAACTAAGCCGTTTCAACTGTTCTTTGTTTTCTCTGAATTAATCTGTCAAAATTGAGTAGCATTATATTATTCCGAAGCACATATTAAAAGAGGCATTTGCTTTGTACGAACCTGAAGTTCAGACTTAATTATCACAGCCGTAGCAGTTGGCACTCAGCTATTTTTACATTTTTGTATCTGGTAAACCTTAAATAAAATCTGGGTGCACTGACTTGTTCTGAAAAGAAAATAAGGAATAAAGTGGTTTAATTAGTGGTTAAAATGGAGGGAAACTTTCTGCTGTAGTGGCCATATGGCAGCAAAAAAAAAAAAAAAAAAGATAAAAAAAACAAGAGGACGTTATTAGTTGATGAGTGATGACAGATATCCCCAACCTTTGGACCATGAACTAGCATCTGGCCATCTGTTATTGGATAACGCGATGCAAAAAAATGAAGAAATAACATTTAATTAATTGATTAAAGTGTAAAATTATTTGAAAAAAAGAAAGAAAAAAGACTGGATTCCATTCCAATCCCAAGCTTGCAAGTGTGCTTAAGAGACGTCTTGGTCCTGGGATACATCCATAAAAACTTCTTAAGATCGCCACAAAATATCTAAAAACACTGCTATTTTCTTTATGAATTAGGATATCTGCAGAGGCAAAAATATAAAGAACATCACAGTGGGCTGCACATAAGGAACACACTGATGTAAGGCTCAGCCTCTCTGACTAGTTTCGATATAATTTGCAAGTAGATGATCAAACACCCACTAATTCAAGTTCAGATGAATTTGAATATACTTCACATTTGGTTTTGTATTTGTCAAATTCTTTTATTTTTATGTGTTTATTTGTCTAACATGTAACTTGTTCGTGGTGAAAAACGTTTGCCAACCTCTGCTATGGAACTCTTTCAAGATGCTGCAATTTACAGTTTTAAGCTATCAGAGTAGTCCAGTTAGCCTGCTAATGTAGAATGCTAACTGTATGACCAAAGGCTGCCCTTTGTTGCAGGTATCAATCTTTATATTTGTTTATTGTTTAATTGTTCCATTACTTATCATTACTAATAATGTAAAATTATTATATATATATGTATATATAAATTTCCTGAACATATTTTTATTGCATTTTTATTTGCATATCCACTTTGTGGTTTCTATTTATTTTATGGAGTTTTTACTAATAATGTAAAATTATGTATATATACATTTTCTGAACATATTTTTATTGCATATCCACGTTGTGGTTTCTATTTATTTTATGGAGTTCTTTGAAAGAAGACACAGGGTGTTCATGACTTTATAGCTAACCCCCAAAAAAAACCTGCTTAAACATACGTAAAATATCATAACTTTGGATTCAAACACAGTCTTTGATACTGCATTGAGAACCTAGGTTGGTACTTTTGTTTCACGTCAGTCGACTTTTTGTATGGATAACTTCAGTTCCTACACTCCGTTCCTGTTACTGAAAAACACGGTAAACACACAATCTCAGTTCCTCGCAATTCGGAAGAATACGTTTAACACTGTATGGTGTCACCTGTAAATATGTCCGTCTCCCTTTAAGTGGGAGGTTATCGGGAGAGCTGTTTGAAATCCACCGCAGGAACAGCAGTGGCTCCTTTCCTCCCCTCCTTCCCCAACTCTCCCTCTGAAACAGCAGCAGAGCAGAGCTGAGCTGAGCTGAGCTGAGCTGCTGTTCAGACCCGTTCTGTCCCAAACCACGACCGCGCTGTGCTTGTGGTGAACGGCTAAAGTGGGACAGGAAAAAGATAAGGGCAAGGACGCCAGTTTTGGGGGAACATTTTTATTCGCTTGCTTTTTTTTTGACATAAAACTATCTATCCGCGAAGAACAGCGCAGAGAGCAGCGGGACTGGTGAGTTTGACACTTGATTACACTTTTGTTGCCCCATCGCGATCAACAAATGCACTTGACGTGAAAACCTAGTCAACGCCGGGAGCAGCGGAAGGCACCAGAAGCTCCAGCGTAAAATAAAATTATAATAAAATAAAATCAACTTTAATTTGTGCGACACTGTTAGGAGAATTAAGATTAGGAGCATGGAATTAGACGAAAATAAAAGACGAATGTACAACTTTAAACTTTGCGATCACGAAACACTTTTCAATTAGGCAGTTTCAGCAACACCTTATTCCACCTGGTTCGCTCTTCTTTTCCACTGTCGTTTGAATGTGTCGCAGCTCTGTGTTGATGGGGCACAGTATGAGGATGATGATGGTGATGGTGATCGTGAAGATGATGTTGCCTCTTGTTGACAGGTGCAAATGAGCAGTTATCAGCAGCCTCACTGAGAATAGGAACACATGTCAGCAGCACCATAGCTGCCCTGTACTGCTCACGTTTCACAAAGTATAGCAGAGTCAACATCAACTTGACTCTGTCCAACATCTCTTTGAGGATGAAGAGTTTTGGCAGAGGCAGTCACATCCCAAATACAGTGTAGGACAGGGGTGTCCACCGTCTTATGGAGAGGGTCAAATTTAATAGTAGAGTTTGCAGCAGTTTTCTCACGGAATTGTTATGGAATTCTACAGGAGCTTTTCCTCGTGTAATGTTTAGTTAGAGTCTGGAGTAATGGGAAAGTCACCAACTTCTAAGACTGGTGTTACTGTATGACTTGTAAATATATCATATCATAACTAAAACATACCATCTTACGTCCCTTATGTGTGTGTGTTTACACTATATAACTTTCTGGGTTTTGCTCCTGGTTAATCATTCTAAAATGGATGTCAGTTATTACTGCCTCACATTGGAACTTCCTCTGTTTATTTTCATTTGGGCACATGTGCTTACGAAAAGAATCTGGACATTTTGTATTATTCCTGGATATATTTTTTAAGTATTTTGATGTGAAGTATTATTATTTTAGTCCCTTTGCCTGATAAAAGTATAGATACCACAGTTGTGGATGTTCGGGGAAAGTTGCAGCTGTGACCAACTTGTTGCTCTAACCATCAATAGTTAAAATGCTAATGGTAGTAATGATCAAATGTCACTCACACTCCATATGAACTGCTCCACAGTTTTTAATGTGGTCCCTGACATTAACTTTATGGTATAGAGAAACATTACAACACAACACATTTAGGATATTTGACATTACAATAATCTTATAAAACTTTTGCTTGTTGACTCTAAGACATGTAGGAATGTTTTTTAAGAGTTTAAATGTAGACAACAAAATCAAGCGTGAACTCACTGATGAAGGCATCTTTATATATATATATATATATATATATATATATATATAGTGATTAGTTTACAATTGCTGTTTCTTGAATAGCCATACTTTAAAGTGTTGTCGTAGCTCAGCAGTGAGACACCTGAGAACCTCCATTACACATTAGACCAATAGACAGACAGCAAATAATAGACAGACTTAGAGCTGAGGAAGTAGGGGAAAGCCTGCGGGCATTCTGTCAAGGAGTTGGTTGAGAGAGTGAGTCTGTGTGTGGCTTAACAGAGGCTTGCGGAACACAATGCTGTCCTACAGTTGGCAGACCCTGACCTTTCCTCACATCTTTCTTTTTATAGTCACTCTTTGCTCCCATCTTCACGTCATCATTTTTTTCTTTCTTTCTTTCTTTCCCGCACAAAGTCAATTCAGCAGCTGCTTTCAGACTGACACACATTCACACAGACACACGAGCACACACACAAAACCAGCACAAGGAGTGGTTTGGCATTTCACCTTTCACCTCTGCACTTCCCTCCTCCTCATTAGCTCTGTCATTCCAGGTGAATGGGTTCATGGAGGAAAGGTGACCTGAATGCTTTCTCTTATTCCCTTTTCCCTTTGCCCATAATATTTCTACTTAATATTATGGGCAAAGGTGTTCCTATTTTTTTGGTCAAATGTATGAAATACTTTGATTATTGATCAAAAGTTTCCTAAAATGAAAAGACATTAAATTATTGCATAATTGGTTAACATATTTCAGAAAACTTCGACTTGATTCCATGTTGGCAGTGTATGTGCCATGTTTGTAGCTTTCAAAGTAATTTAAAACATAAAGTGAATTAATTTTAAGCTGTGAAATACACGGTGTAGTGTTAGTGTTTGTGACAAACGACAGTTTCCCTGTCAGTTGTTCTATTGACTAATAAGAGACTGCACTTGTTTAAACAAATTCAAACCAAGACTTCCAAAGTATTTCATTACATTAAAAAAAAAAAGTCCTTCAGGTTTGATTCTTCTGAGTCTTTTTAAAAGTCCATAGAAATAAAGATACATTGTAATTCTAGGACTTGCAGCCTAGCTTTCAATAAAACCAGACTTTCTGTAGCTACTATTGTTATTTTCAATTTGGCGCAGGGTCACCTGACGGTGTGGACTAGTTTCTTTATAGTTGTTAGTTTTCTGGATGTAAAAGCAGAGCCAAACATTAGCAGGGAATTTTAACCAACCTACAGGACAGAGACCAAAACTGGATCTTTTGGATCTTACCTCCCCATCGAGGGTAACTGGATGGAGTAGGTTTCTTGAAGACGTTTCACCGCTCATCCAAGAGGCTTCTTCGGTTCAGAAAATCCTTATGAAAAGTAAGGGTTTTTAATATAAATGTAATGTAACACAGGGCTGTAAACATTATTTGGGTTTTATTAAATTCAGAGTTTAATTTTGAAACTGGAAGGGCATGTGTGTGTACCACCTCAGTTCTCACACATCTGATGTCTCCATCAGGGCAGCCGGGCAGACAAAGGTTTTTTCCCGTTTTTCTCCTTCTGACCTCTTGTATCCTCTGTACATTGTTCTCTGAATCCTATTGAACCACGAGTCCATAGAGAAACACTACAATGGAGAACAATGCTGTGTGTGTGTGTGTGTGTGTGCGTGCATGCATGCATGCACGTTACTTTGTGAGCTTTTTAGTCTTTCTATCAGTGCAGTGTGAGGTAGAGCCGATCACACAGAACAATGCAGGGTGCAGGGAAAGCTTTGTGATCTCGCAGTATAAAGGCTGCCGACGGCATTGTGCAGTCAGAAGATGACTGTCATCATCTGATCTGATCTGGCTGACTGACCTGCTCGCATCATCCTCACTTTTTTTAAGTTCATCATTATTGAGTTTAATCATCTACCTGTTGTTGTATAGAGATGTTGTTCACAACGAGGTGGTGTAAAGGGGTTGACTAAACTGCGCTAGTTTCAAAAATTATATTCAAGGACTTAATTGAAAATCATTTGAAGCATCATTGTCATTGTTTCATATGCACATTTAAACACAGCAATATTAGATGGGCTCTTCATCATTATTTCTAGACACAAGAAAATAATTAACAGGTGTCCTCGGGTTTTTCAAAGAAAAATTTGTGGTTTGTTTTGAGGATTCTAGTGCTTTTGCTGGCATTTTAGTCATGCACTTTTATTAACAAGAAAGACATGTGTGGATACATTTGCAATGACAGCCAGTCATAAGAACTATTAGGTTGGACAAAAAAAAAAAAAATTTGAAATGCCATAGAGTGTCCAGTAACAAAAAGAAATAGCAAAATTGATTTACTGAATTTCTATGAATGCTTTGCTAAACACATTTTTCAGACACATTGACAGCACCTTTGTCTAAAGTTGCCAAACTTGGATTTTTGTCTTTAATTTAATGAAAAACTTGGATTTTTGTCTTTAATTTAATTTTTCAATTTATTTATTAATTTACATAACATTAAAGTTAATGTTTTACATAATTGTTTTGATTTTTCTTTTTTACATATTAGTCATTTCATAATTTAGATTTGTCATCTTGATGAATCGTCATGATGAATTGCATTGAGAAAAACAGTAGTGGTTCCATTCAGTTTTTTTCTTCCTTAGATCAGTGGGACTTTTGTGGGTGTTTTCGTGTCTTCGTAAATTAAATCAATTATATTTAATGTCATTCACACTTCTTGGACTTATCTCAGTCCTCTTTTTACTATTTAAGAAACAAGACAAATGATCTGGGGAAAAAACCCAACTGTTTTTGTTTTGTTTTTTCATTTTCATGCTTTCTATCCCTGGTGTATACATTTTGTGAGTTAACAGGAAATGCAAATTTCCACTCAGAAATACACACACATAAGTACTCACACTGGGTGGGATAAAAGTGTGAGTCACCTGCTGGCGATGAACCACTCACAGAGACAACACCACACCGCACACAACTACACAGACCTGTCCCACACATTCAAGGTAAGACACCTGTTTAATTCTGTTGACAGATTGAGTGGTGGAGATTATGTTGTTAGGCTGCAGGATCTTGTTGATTAGTTGGATGAACTCACAAACAGCAGCTACTTACTTAAAATATGTAGCAATGTTTGGAAATGAATGCTGTCCTCCAACAAAATATCAGGCCAACAATATCAAATTGTAGATTATTCAAAATGACTAAGAATTGTCAGTTTGCAAGACTTAATAACTTATTTTGCATGACCTGGGATCTTTTCAAATGGCTATTATACATATATAGATATATAAGACTTTATATATGTATATATGTATAATATTTATACTTTTTAATGGTGTTACCAAGAAAATGCAAATAAAGACTCAGGTCGAAGTGAGAACATTTTGTGTAAGGACAAAAAAAAAAAGAGAACTTCGTTAGAGAGAAATAAATTAATCAAAGACCATGTCTTAGATTTTAGATCAGTCTTATCAAAATTGACTGAACAAGAATGTTTGTCTGTAACAAAGAGAGAGAGAGAGAGAGAGAGAGAGAGAAGTCTGAAGGGGAAAAATCCATAATACCGATGGAGAATGTCAAGTGTGTGAAACACAACGTCAACAACGGCTTTGTCTTTCAGCACAAGAACGCAGACCTAGCAAACTGCAAGTGCCATAAAAACACACTTGTGAAGGTTATAGAATA